CAAGTCTGCAACTTACTTCCAAATGGTTCAGAGAAAAAGTACATTAATATAGAGAGAAAAAGACATAACAAACGTGTTAAAAGGTTCAATGTTTGGGGAATCTGGGTGAAGAGTACATGGGAATTCTTTGCATTATTCTTGGAACTTTTTAAAGTCTGAAATCATGTAAAACAAAGCTTTAAAAAATCATTTAAAAAGGGCAGGGAGGGCCGGCCCCGTGGCTTGGCGGTTAAGTGCGTGCGCTCCGCTGCCGGCGGCCCGGGTTCAGATCCCGGGTGCGCACCGAGGCACCACTCCTCCAGCCATGCTGAGGCCGCGTCCCACATACAGCAACTAGAAGGATGTGCAGCTATGACAGACAACTATGTACTGGGGCTTTGGGGGAAAAAAAAAAAAAAAAAAAAAAGGGCAGGGATGCAGAAGTGAGATCAGTATTTCATAAAGATACAAAGGCCCGGTGCAGCCATCCACACCACCTGGGTACTATGGTTCTCCAGAGAAACAATTAACAGGATATGTACATAGAGATGTATTTTAAGGAACTGGCTCATGTGATTGTGAAGGTCGAGACCAAAATCTGATTGGGAGTGGGCTGGCAGGCTGGAGACCCAAGGAAGAGTTGCATTTGGAGTACAAAGACAGTCTTCTGGCAGAATTCCTTCTTGCTGGGGAGGGTTGGGGGTGGGGATGGGAGGGTGGGGGTGTCAGCCTTTGTTCTATTTAAGGCCTTCAACTGATGGGAGGTGCACCCACATTATGGAGGGTAATCTGTTTTTACTCAAAGTCCACTGATTTAAAGGTTAATCTCATCCAAAAAAGCACCTTCACAGAAATATCCAGAATATCTGACTAAATATCTGGGCATCATGGCCCAGCCAAGCTAACACAAAAAATTAACTATCACAGCCTGTAAGAGAAGAGGCCAAACTCGTCCACAAAAATTCATGGCATGCGCTCCGGGAGGCTTCTTAATCTCACAAAATGATGGCTTAACCCTACCTTCCACTTGGCAAGCTGTCAGGGTAACTGTCAGCACAGAACATCTGCCCATCATCAGCTCCTAGCCAGAGAGAATAACTGAGCTATCTGCTATCAGGGAAGCCTGCCCACGGGACGCAAGGTCCACTTCACACAGACAGGTGGCAACACATCAGAACAACTGGGTGTGTTAAAAAGATTCCAGCGGCTGGTCCCACCACTGACCAATTAAAACAAAACCCCAGAAGTGGGGGTTACAGGCAGCCAGGCTGCAAAACACTGCCCTAGGTCCTCTTCCTTTAACTCTCGGGTCCAGCCAAATCATAAGATGAATTCTATTCATCATGATTATCTTATTAGAAAGACGTAATACCATTCTGCGGCAGAGCTGCTTTTCCTTAATCTACCACTGTGGTTATGCCATGAGCTTATGGCAAAGAGCCATAGTAAACTGATTATTTTATCCACAGCAGGGATGCAGTAGGCCAGGCACAGTAAACTGGCTATTCCATCCACTCAGGGCAGGGATGCAGTAGGCCAGCTGTCCACATTATCCAGCATCTGCTTTAACGACCCATGGAAGAAATCTCACACCTGCTCATTCTAGAAGTTATTGCAGAGACTCCACGACTCCCATCACTGGGCATGATCTGCCATTTGCTTTAGTTGCCAGAACTTATGTCTGCATTTTGGTCCTGACCTTGCACCTGAATTTAACCTTACTGTCCCTCCCCAACTTTCTCTTTGAGGTCTTCTATTAATTTGAACCTTTTGTGTCATATCTTACTTCAGCACTCTCAGATTCTTTTTGGATAGAGATGGAACATCAATATAAAATGGGAACATTTTATAAGCAAACTTAAAACCATAACGTTTTAGAACAGTTTAGGACCTCAGAAATGGATCACCTAGCTCAATCCCCCTTCATTTTACAGGTGAAAAAACTGAGGCCAAGAAAGGTTAAGAAATCCATCCAAGCCCCAGGTTGCACAGGCGGAACAGTAAAGCCAGGACAAAGGAGCTTGGACTCCTGCAAGCCATCCCTCGCCATCCAGTTCTGTGTTCCTGAGTCTGGAGTGGAGTCCCAGCCTTGCCATCACTTCAGAGAATCCTTGAACCATCTTTAGAACTAAGTGCTGCCTACTGCCAAGCGCAAACCTCTCAATTTTAGCCAGATTTTTTGACTTGCTGATCTGCCAGGCAGGTTGCTTTAAATCTCTTCCTCTGAGCACTCGAGTTTCAACTGTGTCCGCTGCTACCAAAAGCAGAGTTAAAAGAGTTATAAAACAATAGGTACAGCACGATACTATTATGTGTAATGAAAACAAATATTCCTACCAGTATAGAAAAAAAGACCTAGAATACAAAATGTTTATAGCATTTATAGGGTTATTACTAGGTGGTGAGATGACAGTTAATTTTTTCTTTTGGCTTATCTGTGTTTTCTAATTTTTCCTCCAACAATCATAAGGACTTGCATAATTGTTTAAAAAACAAAAATAATAAATAAAAGCACTCTAGTTTATTAAATATAGATCAGGCTACCCCAGCCTGAAGTTCTGTGGTACGAGTCCCTGAGGCCATTCCTAGGGGTGAGGGTGTGGCTCCGTGGGATTTTTACTGGGAGCTCCCCTCCCCTCGCAGGTTCTGACCCTCATGGGCTTGTTGCCGGTCCATTACAAGCAAACATACAACTTTTGCAGAAAAAGGAGATGACAAGCTCATTTTCAACATGAATTAGCCAGACTGGCTAATTAATTAGCCAGCACTTATATTCCAATTTTCCATTTTTAAATGGCTTTCTATCCAGAATAGGCAAACAATCTTCCATTTATGGGCTGTGTGGTTTCTTTACAAGAGAAAGGCTTCTGCCTGTAGCCACCACAGTAAACAATCAAAACTCAGACCTCTCACTGAGGATTAGCAAACCTGTTTTGTCAGAGGGATTAATTCTGTTTACGAAAGCCCATTTCCATAATCCCTGAGCCCATCACTAGCCTTTTCAGGATCTAAACATACATAAACACTCTAACAGGTGTGGGGGTATGTCCTGGTCCAGCTCCAGGGAAATACCCTTGAACATGCCCTTGTCGTCTACTACCCAGACAATAAAAATGATGTCGTGAATCAGAGCTCTGCCATCAGCAGGGAGTTCTGGGGCAGCCACTGCCTCTTGGGCAGTTTCCCTGGCAAAGTCATCCCAAGTCCTTGTTGTAAGAACCTGTTTTAGCCATTCGGTGCCACTTCTCTCTGTGCTGTCTTGCGTACTAAATATGAAGAGGCCCAGTTAGTATTCTACCAAATCTGTCCTTTTTACCATCTCTCTTTTAAAACACAGAGTGCCCTACGAGGCGGGCACGGTGGCGCAAGCGGTTAAATGCTTTCGTTCTGCTTTGGTGGCCCAGGGTTTGCAGGTTCGGATCCCGGGCGCACACCGACACACGGCTTGTCGGGCCATGCTGAGGCGGCGTCCCATATAAAGTAGAGGAAGATGGGCACGGATGTTAGCTCAGGGCCGATCTTCCTTGGCAAAAAAAGAGGATTGGCAATGGATGTTAGCTCAGGGCTAGTCTTCCTCAAAAAATAAATAAAAAAAATAAAAAACAGAGTGCCCCAGAATAAGTTTGGAAAAGCAATCAACATCACTCTTAGTAATTATTAAACATTTCTTAATGCCTCACAAAAATACTCTAAAATACTATCAACAATGCAACTACCCAGTGCCCAGGTATAGACTACAAATCAGATCTTTGCAAACTGGCTTCAGGCCTGCAAGCGTGTCCTTTCCTCATCAGTTTTCACTCTTTATCTTAGTATAGTAGAAAGGAGAAAATTCTCCATGGTCAAGAGCCAAAAAAAAAAAAAAACTGGCAGCAGGGGGCTGGGCAAGACTATGATATACCTGTCAAATTGAAAATGACCAATGATATTGGAGAAGGATATTCACTGACTTGGAAAGCTGTTGAAAAAGTTACAAATGTCAATAAATGAAACAGAAAAGCCACAAAACTGTATATGCAAAATATCTCTTTTTAAATGTGTAGGTATATTTAGGAGTAGAAAAAGATCCGAAAGGACATACACCTATATTCTAACACGGTTAAGAGTAATGGAGACACTTCAGTTACTTTTCTTTTGTGTGTTTTGTATTTTTCTGCTGTAAACATGTATTTTTGCAAGATATACAGAGAAGTAACAAGTACTCAATCTCCGTGAATTTTAACATAGTAAAGTTCTTCAAGGAAGGTTTGGGTACCTCAAAGATAAAGCCTTCTTTGAGGGCTCCTTCTGGGAGCTTCTGCCCCCTCCTGCTTTAGCGGGCATCCTCAACGATTTTCCTCTAATCACTGCTTAGCCAAAAAAAGCCCCACAATTCCCTGCAGATGACTGAGCTCACCCCCTTCAAACACTGCCCAGGCCCGGTTCCAGTACCCTTTTCTCCCACACGCTGCTGCAGAAAAACAAAGGCGGGGGTGGGGTTGGGGGGCACCGACGGTGCAGCCATCACGGAAGCACACGATCGGTCAACAAATCCTGGAAAATTCCGCCAGGATTCCAGGGCTCGGAAATTTCGAGGAGCAGCGCAGCCCTGCAAAGCCGGGCTCCTCACGCAAGGGTCCTTCGGGCTCCGCCCTGAGCAGAGGGAGCCAAGGCCAGACCCCCGGGGCCCGACTCCCACGGCTGTAGACGACAGCCCGAATCCGCTCTGAGCCCTGGGTGGCGGGGCGGGAAGGACCGGGTCAGGCCCGTGCAAAGCCGGCTGCCCCCCGGGAAAATACGGTGGGGGAGGCAGGGGCCCCACCCGAGGCTATTCTCCTCGGCCAGGGGCCAGAGCGTGGACCACCGGGGAGCTGCGGGGGCCGACGGGGCCCACGCTCAACCCAAACACACTCTGCCGCGGGGTCCCCGCGCGCGTCTCTCGGGGCAGAGAGCACGATCGCCGCAACAGCAGGGGCTGCGGGCCGCCGCCCTCCTCCGGGCGGGGCAGAGGCGCGGCCCGCGCCCGCCCTCGGCCGCCTCACCTTGGGGTCGCGCTCGTAGTAGTGCTGCTGCGTGCGGATCCAGCGGCCCACGAGGTGGTCGCGCACCGTGTGCGCTAGAGCGAAGAAGTAGTCGCGGGGCGTGGCCACGTTGCGGTCCTTGACCAGCGTGAAGTGCAGGTGCCGGTTGAAGCTCTTCCGCACCTCGGCCACGTCGCCCAGCCCCGCGATCCCGCGCACGCTGATCTGCTTCCGCTTCTCGCTGTCCGTCAGCGGCTTCGCCATCGCGCCGGCCGAGGAGCAGGAAAAACAGCTGGAGGAGAGCAGCGAGGACACGCAAACAAGAGGATGCTGCGACGACTCTGGCACCAGGGACCGCGGCGACGCCGGCTAGCGCGCGCCGCGCCTGCGCGCTGCGCCGGGGGCGGAGCCTCCGGGAGAGGCGGGGCCTCTGGAAGGAAGGGGTGGGGCCTCCTGGAGGGAAGGCGCCGCGGGGAGTGGCTTTAGTCCTTGGACGTTGGGAGTGGCGTCCTGTTTTATAGATGAGAAAGGCGAGGTGACCGCCCACGGCCACCGAAGAGCTGAGATCTGACCCCAAGTTGGCCGAGACCGGCAGAAGTGGGGGGCGACTAGAGGAGCTGGACGGCTCGGGAATCGAAGCGCGAGCTCCGCGATGCCCCTGCCCCCCAAGGTAGTCAGGAGGCAGGACCCTGCCCTCGGGGCTTTTGGGATTTCCGGGCGGTGTCCATCGCCTGCCCAAGGTCACCAGTTGCCCTCCACCCGAGTGCCCTGGTGCCGGGTGTGGCCAAGGCCTAGTTAACGTTAGGGGAAAGAGTACAGGTTGAAAGGCAACCACCAACGCCTGGTGGGCCTGGTCACCTGCGTTGTGGGCTGGGGTGGCTCTCAAAATACCAGTTAAAGTAAAACTTAGTTTATACTGAGAAAGCTCCACCCTGCCTGTGATCTCCAGACTGAGATGACAGACACTGTTCGTGAACAGGGGACAGCTTTCCCCAGGGCACGCTGTGGCCCTGAAGTATCACAACCCTTCCTTGAGGGACCACTGCTTCCTCACTCACTGAGAAACCTTGTTCCATAAATCACAGGCCCTCAGGCACTTTCCCCTTTAAATTAGGGCAGGAAGAAGGATCTGGGTCACTCTGACAGAGACGCAGCCTCCTCCATTCCACCCCAGGTACAGCTTCCCACATCTGCTTAACGCGGTGGTTCCGAAGGAAATAGGGCCCAGTCCACTTGCACACAGCCCTGCTTTGCTTTGAGCCTGTGGGAACGCTGCTTCATGTCAGTTTCCCCAAACCCCACAGGAACTCTGCCTTTTCCTCTGTTCTCAGGAAGCCCCACGGTCCCACCACGTGCCTGCTCTCTCACTGCGGTGGGTCAGTAAACCCAATTTTGTGGGACTGCAGATTTGCTCCTGGTGGTCTAAGGCTGATGGGCTGCAAAAGTTCCTGACTTACACGGAGGTCCAAATTGCCCGCAGGAGATATCATGAAGGTCCAGGTGCAGGAGTTTTCCTGGTGTGACACTTTCCAAGTTATCTTCTCACCTGGACCCTCTTCCAGCTGCAGACTTCTCAGGGGACAATAAATCTGAACTGCACTCTTGCCCCACCTAGTCACATACCCACCTGCTTCAGCTCTTGAATTCAGTCCTGCACTAGCTATTCCCTCGGGATTTAAGCCAACAAGGTGGAACTTCAGTCACTGATGGCAGGACTATGAGATGCAGATTGTATCTGCAGACTGATGCAATCTCTCTGAGAGTTATCTGGAAATTCATGAAAGGAGTCATAAAAATTATTGTGCCCTATGACGAGCTGTACCACTCTGGGGCACAGATTTCAAGGAAAAGTTCAAAAAAACAAAAAACAAGTTGTCCAAGGATGTTTTCTGTTATGCTGTAGGTTATACTTAAAAGCTGGTAAAGGTTCAACCACTGAACCATGGAGCAGGCTGGGTAAGGAATGGGAGAGCTAACGGTTATTGCTTCCTACTGTGCTCCATGCATGTACTAACTCATGGTTCCCACAGATAGCCTTCTGTGACCACCACTTGACTATGCAGAAGCAGAACTGCAGAGAAGTTAAGATGCTTCCCTAAACTCAAACAGCTAGTAAGGGAAACCACCAAGATTCACCCCCAGGGCCAAGTCCTGCTCCACTGCGTGAGCCCACACAATTTCTCTATACTCAAAATTAATATCATAAACTATTGTGTTGCTAAAGGGAATGACAATTTTCATAACCAACTAGGAAGGTGTAAAGGATGATACAATAATGATAAATGAAAAGACAGGAATAAGAAGGATGTGATGCAGAAATGACAGTAATGTTAGTGTTTGCAAATGAACACAGACCTGGCCTTTCAGGAAATGGGAGGCAAACAACAAATGCATTATTTTTGAGAGGTAGGTAATTGTAAAGCTCAGTAGAATGAAGATTACCCAGCTAGAATGACATTGTAGAATTGGGTCTCTCCCTTCACTGGGGTAGGTAAACAGATATTCTTAGTGACAATGTATACACATTGATGTTAAAAAAAAAATCCTTCAGACCAGAGTGATACTAAAAGGAAATAAAACAGGAGTAAGGAGGAAGGAAGCAAGCTCTTCTCTACAGAAAGATGCCAGGTAAACGTAGGAGTGGACAGTGGCTGCAGGGGAACACGATTTTCATTCAGTCTCAAAGTATCACCCCACAGATCACCTTATTAGTTATAAAGAGGAAAAGGCATTTTACAATGGAGAGAGATGACAGACTCCAGCCTCATGAAGTGATTCAACCTAGCATCACCAATAAGGGGACAAACCGAGACTTGTGCCTCCTGATTCAAGGCACTGGGAAGGACACAACATCACTTATAGTATAGAATTATAATACAGTTTACTATATATACCATAGTAATATAGTAAAGACTCCTAGGACCCAGCCTACAGACGTGCAGATAATAACCAACTAGGGCAGTTTCCCAAACTTGCTGATAAGAACTCTCTGTAGGGCTTGTTACAAGCAAAGCCCCAAATCCAGAATTCCAAGGGCATTCTTTTTACTGTGCAAATGTGGGAATCTTTGCCCCAGGCAGCCTTTATAACCCAGCACCCAGGTCCTGGTTCTAGTAGGAAGGCTAGTACAGATGTCCCCCCTTATCCACAGGGGACATGTTCCAAGACCTGCAGTGGATGCCTGAAACCGTGGATAGTACCGAACCCTACATATATGCTTTTTTTCTATAATCCATACCTATGATAAAGTTTAATTTATAAATTAGACACAGTAAGAGATTAACAATAATTAATAGAAAAATTATAATAATATACTGTAATAAAAGTCACTGTAGGTCTTAGCGACCTCAGCATATGATTTTTTGTCCTTTCTTATGAAGTCCAGCACTCTCACCTTTTCACTTAAAGGAAGTACGGCTTCTCTTTGGCATATCCAAATGGCCAGCATCACTCCTCTTGCACCTTGGGGCCATTGTTAAGTAAAACAAGGGTTACTTGAACGCAAGTACTGCGATCTGATAACCCAGACAGCTACCAAATGACTAACGGGCAGGTGGCATATACAGCATGGATAAGCAGGACAAAGGGATGATTCACGTCCTGGGTGGAATGCAGCAGGACAGTGTGAGATTTCATCACACTACTCACGACGGTGTGCAATTTAAAACTTACGAATTGTTTATTTCTGAAATTTTCCACGTAATATTTTCAGACCACAGTTGACCATGGGTAACTGAAACAGTGGAGAGTGAAACCACGGATAAGGGGGGACCACTGTAAATGCACCATGGAGTTGCCCAGTGTGCGGCTGGAGGGACACCGTCTCATCATGCTCAGCTGGGCCTTGAGGCCAATGTCTGTGACCCAGGCCTAAGGTTCCTACTTCTTAAGTGATTGTGAGACTAGTTCTAAAGCCAGGTGGCAAGAGTAAGCCTGAGATGTCCACCTCATGGACTCACTCAGGTGCTTCCCTCCTCCTCCAGAAGGGAGGGTGGCGCAAACAGCAGTTGGTGAGGGACAGGGGCGATGAACATGCTAAAGAAAGAAGGTGGTGGTCATACCTCAGGGCCATCACCCTGCCATCCTCCAAGCCAGAAACATTCCCCTGCTTTGGGGGATTGAACTGGACAAGCCCTTGGAGTTTTGATGATTACCCTGGAGTTGAATATTAGACTGGACTTTCTGCTGCTCCAGAGTGACCTGGGGGACCACGGTTTCATCCAAGGGGCAGGGCGAACCGACAGCCTGGAGGGCTCAGGGGGCCAGGCGCAGCAGAACTCTGATGTGCATGCCTGCACCTACCATCTCCTGCTCATTCAAGGTCAGGCCCCCGTGAGGAAAGCAGCACCTAGAGGAACAGGGGTCTTCAATATCGCTCTGTCACTCAGCAGAAACCTCCTGGCATCGCATGGAGCAGAAGGTTCCAATCAGCAGGCAGCCCTGGTTGTAGCACTGCCTGTCTCTCCAGGAGTTTGTTAAGCTCACAGTGAGAAAGTCTCAGTCTTTGCACAGCTTATATTAATGTAAATGAATGATAACCACCGCCTGTGGAAGTCACCCTGGAAAGCACGAGTCTCTGAATTGGTTGGCTGTGCTATCCAAGTGTGCCTGCACATCCCCTCAGAGGGCTGGGGAGGAGTGGGGACTTGTGCTTGCTGTGTGCCCTGGTGGGGTCAGCAGCCCTGTGAGGTGGGGCTGAGTGAGGCTGAGACGCCCCTCAGGCTGGAAGAGGAGGTGCTTGGTCCACAGCACCTGCTCCTCTGGCCTGTGAGCTCCCAAAGTCTTCAGCATTCATCCAACACTTGCTCTGCACGACTCTGGGCCACGTGCTATGCTCCACATGCACAGGAGACACAAAGACAGTGGGCGGGAAAGAGAGAAGGGCTGTTACAAGACGGCGAGACCGTCAAAGAGGAACTTCAGGATGCTTTCTGTGTGATGAGCTGTGTAAAAATCCCATAAGAAAGCCAGGGTAAAGAGCTCCATTATCCTTTAAGGCTCCTTGAGTCAGATTTCTACCTTCTTGGAAGCATCTTCAGGTAGGGTCAAGCCTCCAGGAGGCCCAGCTTCACCTGGGTTACAGTTACAGCAGGTCCCTTAGATGGTGCTTCCTGTAAGAATCACCTGGGGGTCTGGTTAGGAAGCTGATTCTGATTCAGCAGGTCTGAGGTGGGGCCACATTTTGCATTTCAAACAATCCCCCAGGTCCTGGGAGCATCTTAAGAGCCAAGGCTTTAAGGTGCAAGCCCCGGACAGAAGTTTTTAACGATGAAGATTATTGGAAAGGAGGTGTTGAAGAATCCATACTCCCTGCTGCAGAGTCCTGAGAGGGGAGGGGAGCAGGCAG